CAAACATAGTAGTGTAGAGTGAAGTTTAGAAAGATATAAGGCGAGTAAAAGGAAAGAGGTGCAGAAGTTCAACTCAAAACAAAGAGTGGATATTCAAAATAAAGTGTCTAAATGGTCTGCTCCTGATGATACAAGTTCTCAATACAAGAAAAACAGAGTTGTATACAAACAACACATGCAAGATATGTGAACAAGAAGTAGAGACACAAGACTACCTCACAGCATGCCTAGATCTACAAAGACTTTGGTATATTGTGGAAAAAGAAGAAAGTGAACTCTTTTTAGAAAAAGTGATAAAGGAAAAAGAAAAGCTAAAAACCACAAATATTCAAAAAATACAAGAGCTAATTTTTGGCAAAAGCACACAAGAAAAAATTGCAACAAGAGAAGAGCTAATGAAGGGGATAATCACAAAACAAAGACAGGAAAACATATACATGATCCTAGATGAAGCAAGAAAAGTCAGCAAGTTTACACAGACTATCCTTAATCACTTCCAATGTCGATTCTTCAGGCACATATGGAGCTTTAGATATGAACTAGTCTCAGAATGTGAAAAAAAAAATGATATAACCAAAGAAAAAAACTAGGAAAAAAAGAAAAGAAAGAAGCTTAGAAAGAAGAAGAAAGAAAAAGACAAAGAAAACACTGATCCACAAGAAGCCAATCACAAGAAAAAATAGCAGAAGAAAATAGTAGCAGAAAGGGTAAAGGAAAGGCAAAAATAAATGAGGAAAAGAATAGAATAATAGAAGAATAGGTTACATGGGGAAAGAAGCTAGCATGGTCCTCACTAGCTAAGATTCGACAAGATCTTTAAGTGCTCCTGACAAGGCATACAACGGCCTACTTATGAACAAGGGGGGTATCAGATAAAGATACAAAATCTTTAGAAAGTTAAGGATCTCAAGAGAGGTAAACAGTTGTTATGGCAGGTCATATTAGGTAATCAGCCTGGTGAGTCTTTATTAGGTTAGAACAATAAGTTATAGGAATTTAGTATTTTTGTACATAAATTATATAACAGTTCATATAAATAAAGGCAGAATTACTTAAAAAAAAAAATATATATATAAAAAAAATAAAAATAAAATAATAATAATAATAATAAAATACAGGGCAACTCTTCATGACAATCTCTTGTACCAAAATCACAACAAACTTTTTTTTCAAAAAAAACAGTAAACTATAGTAAAAAAGAAGGAAATAAGACTGGTCAAAACTATAAACTAGCATCTGTTATTTAGAGATAGTTCTTATATGCTACCTGCTAACAGGCCTAGAGCTTATCACTCACCATAGGGATGGCACTTGTTATTTAGAAGTAGTTCTCATATGCTACTTGCTAACAAGTTCAGGGTTTATCACCTACCAACAAGACAACCAACAGTACACTTGGCTCTATATGTTTTATTGGCTTTAGAAAAAAATATACACTTTTTTAAGAAAAGTACAAGGGCTATACTTCACACTATCACCCACTTACTTTTTCAACAAATTTTCTGCAAAAAGTGGGCAAAACAGCTTACTCCTGTCAAAAGATCAGCATTGTTTACTCCATACAAATCGGAATATTGCAGTAAATTGCAATTACGTATTTTGTTTACTGACAAATACGGCGCTACTTCATGTGACGAGGCCTCTATCAAATAAGCCACACACAAATGTTTGGATAGTCAGGAAGAAATTTTCTATTAAGGTATAGCTTTATAGTAGAAATATACAAATGTTGCATTTGATATATAATTTTTAAGCCTAGCACAGGTTATAATAGTGCTATTGAGATTGTGTTCATTTCTTTCTTCTTTTTTATTTTTTTCATCTTTTTCTAGTTATAATAGAATAGAGTTTAGATTCTACTTCTTGTTCTTTTTTTTTTTTCTTTTCTTTCTTCTTTTTGTTCTTTTTTCTTTGTTTTTTTTTTTTTTCTCTCTTTTTTCCTAAACTAGCTTTGAGCTTTTAAATTTCTTTTGTAATTGTGGCTAGTGAGTTCTCTTTTTGGATAAAAGTAAGAGTTTTACTCTTTCGCCCAAATCTAGATAGAAAAAATTGTGAAGGAAGAAGGATACGATCATAATCAGCTAGAAGATCTAGTTAGTGAACCCCTTCAGCAGGTAGTCCTAATGTAGAGGGAGACAAACTCTTGTTTTGGCAGATTACGGATAGGTACCCATGGTAACCAGACGAGTTGTATTTTAGTTTTAAGGTATTAATACTAAAGGTAGTAATAGCATTTGATAATATAACTACTTTATTTCTAAATAAAATATGACATGATCACTAAAAAAAATAAAAAATAAAAAAAAATAATAATAATAAAATACAATGCTATTAACAAATATCAACAACTCTTTCTGATGATTTTTTGTACCAAAATACAACAAACTTTTTTTAAAAAAAAACAGTAGACTATGGTAGAAGAGAAAAGCATAAGACTGATAAAAACTATAAACTAGCATCTATTATTTAGAGATAGTTCTTATATGCTACCTGCTAATAGGCTCAGAGCTTATCACTCACTGTGAAGATAATATTTGTTATTTAGAAGTAGTTCTCATACGCTACTTGCTAACAAGTTCAGGGTTTATCACCTACCGACAAGAAAATCAGCAATAAACTTGGCTTTTTACATTCTACTTAGGGTATCTGGCATAGTGGCACAGGCATGCCAATAGTGGCATGCCAGTGGCATGCCTTAAGCTAATTTGGCATGCCACCTAATAAATTTATTTATATATAAATTTTTTTTTTACATACATACATACATATAATTTAATTTAATACGTACGTATCAATATTTTATACTAATTTGTACTAACATATCTTGCACGATACATATTATTATAGCAATCTATGAATTCTAATCACATGCCATATACGGCTTGCACTTATGTAAAATATGTAAAATATATAGCTTATTTTGTGTAAAATGTATAGCTTATTTTGCGTGACTTGTTATTTTACGTATATTTGGACACTATTTTGAGACCATATATGCGCTCATCCTTCAAATAATGCCCACAAATTAATAATTGGTACAGAAGTAGCAAAATTCCAAGAAAAAAGATCATGTGAAAGATAGTTCGCCTTTCTTATATGTAAAAGCATTAACTTGCTTTAACAAGTTAAATAACCCAATTCGATCTTATTAAGCAACTTAATTAAATCGTTAATCAGAATCTGAAAATTGCATATACTGGGCTTTTTAATATTTCAGGTTTTTCAAACTAGAATACAAGCATGCCACTTCTTTTCGATCAAATGATATAAACCATTAACCAAACGAAGTATTATTATTAAATGAAATACATAAAAATGTGAATTTAAATAAAAACATGAAAAATATAAATATATTTTAATAACAAAATCTGAATTGCTTGAAAGTTGAGTAATGATACAATATCTGTATAACAAAAAAAAAATCTTGAAACTACTGGTGCAAGGAATTAAATACTTAATATAGAAAAACAAATTCTTTATTAACATAATGCCATAAAATAAACTTTTACACATTCAAAAAATTTGTCAGCAATGCGAAAAAATAACATCTATATGAGTGGAGTGACGCCAAGGGAAAAAGGAACGTTCGTTTTTATTGATTATTTATCTGATGATTGACAACACATCGGGCTTTCAATTATAATAAACTAACCTCTGAAATCCTGCCTTAATGAAAGCCCGATATGTTGTCGATCATCAGATAGATAATCAATAAAAACGAATGTTCCCCTTTTTCTTGGCATCACTCATGTAAAAAAAAACCTTACGATTCTTATCTTCTAATAAAGAATTTAATCTTTATGCTTTTTGTATTATGGGTTTGGTCGACCAATTCGTGTTTCAATCAAATTCGTATATTTGATATGTAATCAATTAATCGAATCTTGATGATTTTGATGCTATTCGAATCATTTTAATAATTCGATTAGTACCAAGATTATCAAAATATCAATGATAGATCAAAATATATGAATTTGATTGAAACACGAATTTGGTCGACCAAACCTGTAATAAAAATAGATTAGAAATTAATCAAAATTTCATATATAATATAAAAAAAAGAAAATTTAGCATGTAAAAAATCATCTTACATTTCTTATCGATAGTCAACAAATAAACCTCTTAAATTCATAATAATATTATGCAAACTCAACCACCACCTGGTTATGCTCTTCCCAACATGTCAACCCATGATCATCGTTGGACTGGGTTTTGGTGTTCTTTAGAAAAAGGTGCAGGCAATAGATATACGGCTAAATGTTTCTATTGTAAATATGAGCTATTCGGAAGGCCTGAAAAGCTTCATAATCATGCTATTTCATGTGGTAAATGGCCTGTTACTGCGAAGAATAATTATATTCAAGAGGCCGCAAGTTCTACTCCTAAATCTCGTAAAAATAAAAAAAAATTAATCAGTTCAGACCAAGAACAGTCAGAGTATGTTATTAATTACAAATAATTTATTAATATATAAAATACTTAGCTAACAAAATTTTTGTAGTTCGAATGATAGCTCCAATAGTCTCTCTTCACCTGTATTAAAACGTCAAGAAAATTTAGCTAATTGGATTATTAAGCCAATCTCACAAGAAAAACAATTTAAAATTGACAAAAAGTTACTCGATGCTATTATTTATGGAAACCTTCCTTTTAAATTAGCCAAAAACCCTTATTTTCTCGAATTCCTTAATGAATTAGCCCCAAATTATTGCCCACCCTCTCCTGAAACATTGAGCAATAAAATTCTTAACAATTCATTTTCAATTTACCTGAATAATAAGTTCAAAGTAGTGCTCGGCACAATCAAACAAAAGTTTGACAGTCAAATACTTGTTAATATTTGTGATTAAGTCGGACATCAAATGATTGCAGATTAACCAATGGTATATATTTAGCTTGGGTTAATCTGCAATCATTTGACATCCGATTTAAGCATAAGTATTAACAAGTATTTGACTGTCAAATTTTTGTTTGATTGTGCCGAGCACTAGTTCAAAGTAATGTTCTCTCTTACTGACATTACTATAGCTTTAGACGGATGGCAAGACGTATCTCGAAATTCTATTTACAGTTTTATGGCACTAAAAGAAGAATATGAACATATTTTAGATATCATTGACTTATCAGCAAATCGTCATACTGCAGTTTTTCTTCAAGAAAAAATTGAAAAAGTTCTTGAATTAAATTCGATCTCTATTAATTCTGTTATTGCCTGCGTAACAGATAATCCTTCAGTTATGGTTAAAATGAGAAATGATCTTAGAAATAAATATCAAAATATAATTCCAATTCGCTGTTGTCTCCACTCTTTTAACCTAATTGCCAAAGATATTTCTTCTTACCAACCTTTACTTGCGGTTATTAAAGATAACCAAAAACTTATCAACTTTTTTATGTCTTCTCATATCTGGCTTAGAATGCTACAAGATTGGCAAAAACAAGAAGGTGTAGCTCATTCCCTTACAATGTTTTGTGAAACCAGATGGTACTCCCTTGCGAAAGTTTGTTTGGGTGTAAAAGCCTTCGAAAGAGGATTTTCTCGATGTATTGATATCAGTAGAACTAACAACTATCCTATAATTAAACCTGAGATTCGTGATATTGTTAGAAATCGTCATCATTTTGCTAACAATGACACATTAGTTACAGTGCTTATTCCTGTTGTGGATGCTATTGGTCGTCTTGAATCAAAAAAAACTACGTTAGCTGATATTTTTAAAGAACTGTTAAATATTTATCTTACCATTTTAAGAGCTAATATTCCAATTGACGGTTTTAAGGATCATGCATTAGCAGCTATTAACAAACAGGCACGTGAGTTCTCTGATAATATTTATTTTATTGCTCTTTTCCTGTCTCCATATTACAAAAGAGTCGCAATATCAAAAAAAATGTCAGGTGATTTAATAATTAGAGTTTCATTAGAGTTAGCAAAAGCTTGGTGTTTTGATAAAAGAGAAACAACTCTTTTACTTAAAGAGCTTATCAATTATAAAAATAGAGATGCTCCTTTCAACACTTACAGAAATATTGGCGATGTTAATCCTAGAACCTTCTAGAAACAATTTTCTGGAGGTTCTCCACTTTTACGATGATTTGCTATAAAGGTTTTTTCAATTGTTCCGCATGTAGCAGCCGTTGAACGTCTATTTTCTAGCTTGGAACTAGTGAAAACAAAGTCTCGAAACAGAATGTCTACTGATTTAATGAAAATGCTTGGGATGCTTTGCCATAATCTTCAACAAAAACTACCCGAAACACTGAAAAAAAAAACTAAAGATCTAATCTCACCTACAAATCTTGTAAATACTGAAGATTCTAGTATTGATCTTTTCGAAGAAGAGGAATTTGAAAAGCCTTTAGAATTTGAAGTTGAAGCGGTAAATATTACTATAGATGATGAGTTAGTAATAGATGAATTCTTTGATATTAGTATTTTTGAACAACAAGAGCAAGAAGTTGTTGATGAAAGTTCAACGATTCATTCTCAAAATTCTATTAATAATGAAGATTAGTCAATTGAAGATATTTTTTCTCAATCTGAAACTTAATGAAATTGTAATTATTATATGTTAGTAAATGAAATAAAATATTCGAATAAAAAGTTTTTGTTATGTATCCCAATTATATACCTGTTACTCTTTGGCTAGCTACTTTGATATCGCTTAGAATTAGAATCTTCATGCAAATAATTATTTCTCAGTACACACGTTATTTTAAATTACAGTATAAAAAAAGAGCGGGTATAAAATCTCTTATATTAATACATTGTAAATCAGGTTTCCAAAATCCGGGTTTCAGAAAGAACATAATTCTGATAAAGTTAGCGACATTATGCTAGTTGGTTTTGTCAGAATTATGTTCTTTCAAAAAAACAGCTTTCATAAAACAGTCACATTCGCTATTTTAAAAAGAAAACATAAGTTAAAAGGATTTACTACATAGTACATTGAATTTTAATCTTGTACGTCATACATACGTAATACTGTAATATCATATTATTAATATTTAACATTGTACACATGTAACAGTATGTGTGACATTGTGTGGCATGGCATGCCCAAAAAAAATGGCATGCCACGTGGCATGCCATTTATCTAAATCTGTGCCAGACACCTAGTGGCGTGCTATGGCATGCCGTGGCATGCCCAAAAAAAATGGCATTCCACATGGCATGCCATTTATCTAAATTCGTGCCAGACACCCTAATTCTACTACTTTTGGAAAAAATTATATACTTCTTTAAAAAGAGTACAAAAGCTATCTTCTACACTATCACCCACTTGCTTATTTTTCAAAATTTTTAAAAAAAGTGGGCAAAACAGCTTACTCCTATCAAAAGATCAGCATTGTTTACCTCTTTCAAATTCAGACAACCTAGTAGATTGCAACTACATATTTTGTTTACCAATAGATATGGTGCTACTCTACGGGTCTAGACTCTTGGTTAAAGGAATATCTGAAGATGTCGTAATCAGAAAGAAATTTATATATTAAGGTGAAGCTTTATAGTAGAGATATATAGATGTTGTATTTGTTATATAATTTTTTAAAGCCTTGCACAGGTTATAATAGTGCAAAGGATACTTTTTTTCTTTTTTTTCTCTTTTTTTTCGTGTCATTTCTTTTCACTAGTCAGATTGCCTAGCTTTTCTTTTGCTTTTTTTATCTTGTCTTTTAAATACTAGATTTATCATTTAGATTATATAGTTTTTTCTCACTTACTATTTCCTTTTGTTATTCAACTTCCTTTTTTCTCCTTTCATATATGTTCTGTTTTTTTTTACTTTCTTTGGTAGGTAAAGATAGCTATACTATTAAGATTTAGATGGGAAAAGTCTTAAAGAAAGGCTTAGGCTTTCTGACAAAGCCTCTAGTTTCATATATTTTTTACAGACTAGTGCGACAAGTCACATATGATAATGTTTTTTGTTAAACATATTAAGTGATATTAGACTTAGAGATTAAGGAAATAATATTATAACTTTGTTATAATAAAAACTTAATAAAAGCTCTTGGCGAGACTGCTTAAGTTAAAAAAAAAAATAAATAATAATAATAATAATAAAATAATAAAAAAATAATAATAAAAAATAAAAAAAAAATAAAAAATAAAAATAAAAAAATAAAATTAGTATTTGATAGCAATTTTTACTAATAAAATTACTATTCTTCAGCCTTCTACTTCTATCTGTTAAATTATAATTAGACAAAGACTCTGTTTATTCTCTATTTTTGCTTTGGCTTCTGCTAGTTTTCACAGATAAATGAATAGTAGAAGTGTTTACAGGAGTTATATTTTCTGATCAGTATAAAGATAAAACTACAATAATTGGATTGTTAGTTGTTAAAGTGGTAAAAGTGGTAGTAATTTGTTGAGATAAAGTGGTGAATGGTTAAGTTGAAGTAGAGAGTGGTTGAGTTAATGGTTAGGTCAAAGTAGTAGTTAAAGTGATTAATGGTTTGGTCAAAGTGGTAAATGGTTGGGTTGAAGTGGTGGCCGAAGTAGTAGATAGTTGGGTTAAAGTGGTGAATAGTTAGATTGAAGTGGTTAAAGTAATGGATAGCTAAGGTGAAGTAGTAGTAGATAGTCAAGGTGAAATAGTTGATAGTTGAATTGAAGTAAAAGATGGTTGAATTGAAGTAGTGGTAAATTGAGTAGTAGGTTGAGTTGAAGTAATAGGTTGAGTTAAAGTAAAAGGTTGAGTTGAAGTAATAATAGATCAAGCTAAATTATATTAGTTTGGGGATATTGTTTGCCAGGTTCTTTTTGTTTTAGCTATAGCAAAAAAAAATTTAGCAAAAAAAAATTTTAAAAAAGAAAAGAGAAAAGATTTAGTGAATGAGAAAAGAAATTAAGTAAAAGAAGAGAAATTTAGCAAAAGAAGAGAAAAGTTTTTGAAAAAAGATAAGAAAAGAGAAATTCGAAAAGAAGAGAAAAAAAGAAAAGAAATTTGAGAAAAGAAGAATAAGAAGAAAAGAGAAATTTAGCGAAAAAAG